GCTCAGCTGCTCAACCCCCTCCCTTAGGGGAGCAACATATTGCAGGCTGGGCTCTCTGAATCCTGAGCAAGGCCCCTGTCTTCCAGCTGGACTTCCTCCCTCCTCCATGCAAGGAAGGGAAGCAGCCTGAGCCAAAGAGACAACTGGGCTTGGAATAGCCTTTGCCTTTCTCCTCGTCCTCACCCCAGTCCACCCTGAGAAGTCGCTCCATCTGTCCCGGCTACAGGAAGCTGTGGCACTTTGCTCAGCGAGGCCCACCTGAGAGCCTGCAGGCCAGCCCAGCCCCACCATGCCGTGAGACCCCTTCTCTCTAACACCTCTTGGCCTTGCCACGAGAGCAGCCAGACTAGATCTTCATCCCAAGACTCGGCTGACACCAACCCCAGTGGTTCTTCTATCAGCTTTGCCAGGCCCCACATCTAAGGGCCAGCAGACCAGGACAGCCTCTTCCTCTGCCCCTCTCTATTCCACTGACTTGGACCACAGCTCCTCAGTGCCCATGGTCTATGCCTTGATGTCCCTAAATCAGGGCCAGGGAGATGGCTTTCCCCAGGGGCCCAGCTCAGCATCTGCACACCAGGGGCCAGGGAGCCCCAGCCACTCAGATCTCACAGAGAGTGCTATGCAGCCATCCTTGCATTACCCTTCCAAACTAGGGGTACAAGAGGGGTGATTCATAGGCAATCCAAAACAACAGGCAAGCAATTCTGAATTCCATTCCAGGATTTGGGACAGGTGCCTGTTAACTTTGTAAATTGGGTTGGCTTTCCAAATGTTTTCTTGTGTAAACTTCGTTTTCAAGAGAAATCTCACCCGAAAGTCCAGTACACAAAATAGATGAAAGATAATAATACTGACTGACATCTAATCAGCATGTATTACACGTCAGTACTCTGCTAAGCCCTCAATATACATAGTGTCTTCATTATTTCTCCCAAATAGCCCACTGAGCTGGGCACCCCTTTTAACTTCACTGCATGAATGAGGAGATGCGGGCTCAGAGAATTTCAGTAGCCGCCCAAGGTCTCGCTGCTGGTCAGCCCACCCACGCTCTCTTAACCACTGTGATGACCGTTACACAGACCTGTGCCGGCTGGCATGGACGTAAGAAGCGCCTAACCTTAGCCGCTCAGCCTCCCACTTTCTCATCCCACCTACCCCATATGCTAAAGGAGATGTCTCCCCAGAACCTTTGGGTTCCCCTTCAGTTTGAATACCGCTGACTTAGGCTAATAACCAGGTAAGTATGTATCCTTTAGACGCCCAGGATGAGATGGGAGAATGACTAGACAGAGAGCTTTTGTTGTTCTTTTTGTTTATCTGCTTTGAAAGCCAAAATCTTGGAAATTATCAAGTCCAAACCCCTCCTACTCCTGCCCGTTGTACCTATGGGAAAACTCAAACCTGGAGAGAGCTCAGGGCAGAGGGGAGCCCCCATCCTGGTCTCTGACATCCA